ACTTGGAATATTTAAAATAGTTTATCATTTTTGATCAAATTATAATGTATGCGTTGTCATAGAACTTTTATTCTAAAATGCCATGCAAAAATGCCTTTAAAATAAGCAGCAAAAGTTCCTATAATATTATAAATTGTGTAACTTCATTATTTTTGATGATGCATTTCTCTATGTATTGGCAGCATTCTAATGTCATAAATAGGAGTTTAAAACTTGGAATATTTAAAATAGTTTATCATTTTTGATCAAATTATAATGTATGCGTTGTCATAGAACTTTTATTCTAAAATGCNCATTTTTGATCAAATTATAATGTATGCGTTGTCATAGAACTTTTATTCTAAAATGCCATGCAAAAATGCCTTTAAAATAAGCAGCAAAAGTTCCTATAATAGTATAAATTGTGTAACTTCATTATTTTTGATGATGCATTTCTCTATGTATTGGCAGCATTCTAATGTCATAAATGGCTGCTCTGGAGCTAACTTTGAATACAGTTTTTAAAATCCATTATAAGTGAAATAAACACAGCAAACYTGTCAAAATAAATGGAGTGGAAAAGAAGAATGAAGTTTACAGATTCTCAATGAAGGTCACTGGGAAAGCAGTTCATCATTTTTGTTTAGAAGAGATTAAATTAAACTCATAAGGAAATACACCTACAGTGAAACATGGTTACGGTTATTCATGGCTTTGACAATCTTGGAAACTGGAGTTGTTTAAGAAACCAGCGGGATAAAGAAATTAGGGGAATTTCAAGAATTTTTACCAAGTTTTAGGAAACCGTTATATTTAGAAACTTTGATCTCCTTCTGTTACAGAGGTTTCCCACCAATTCAGATCTTGCACCAGAAGCTTGTGAGCTTAAAATTTCCCCTTTTATGTTTTTTTTTTAGTTGGATCTGTGCTCTTCTGGGAAAAAGAAAATAAAAAATAACATTAGTCATTCCTGAGATTTGGTAAAGCCACTCTCCCAATTTGGGGATCACAGTATTCTTTGCTCAAAATTAAATTTAACTTTCCACTGCTTTTCCCTTTTCAGCAATTGTTAGTTTTAATTTTCTCAYGTTCCATGTTGTTGCTGTTTAGGACTGCTACATCTACTATCTTCTTTTTATTATSTGGTGCACAGTCCAGTTGGTCATTCATCTCCAGTTTTTCAATCTGAACATCCAACAGGATTTTAGCCCATTCATTGCACCTTTAGAGATACACTTTGAGGTCACCAGAGACTACACCTTGCCCTATGATGGACTTGCGACCTGYCCAGKGTGTACCCTGCCCCTCACACAGTGACTCTGAAAATGGGCACCAATGACCCCAATGATCCTGAAAGGAAGAAGTGGKTATAATAGATAAWGGATGACTGGATGGATGGATATCCAACAATACAAACATTACTGGTTTGCTTTGGGGGTCAGTGATGTGGTCTTGAGGCTGCAGGTTTGAGCCCAGGTTGAGTTAGAAAGRACTATTGGTGTAAAAAATAAGCAAAATCTTTCATGTGAGTTCACTCACTGTGGCGACACCTACAGAAAGGAACAACCAAAGGAGCAAGGACTTGTGACAGATGTTTCTGTTCTTACCATTTTCTCATTCTGGAATCATGGTTGTCCCCTTCCATAGTACCTTTATTGTACAGCAATGTCTCTTAAACAGATTTTGTTTATGAACTCTTTAACACTGCTTCATTAAGTAGTGGTGCCATAATAACGTTATTGGCCGACCAATCGATCGTTCCCGATTTTCTTTGTTTTTGGTGATAGACAACTGGCCAATACTTARATGAGAAGCCAATCTTATCTACCTCTGCAAAAGCCTGAAAAATCAGCCACTGTCCCCTTTTGCTCTGCTGTGAAAGAGCGATGTCCAGAAGTTTTATTGTGACCTTACAACACCTGACTTGTCAAAAATTGGTATCGGCAGGTCAGGCTTTGGCCAGAATACTGGAATCGGTGGACTCTTAGTTATATGTTGTTTCTCAGATGAGTTTCAAAGTATCCACAACCCCCACGTCATTCATATGTACCTATTTTTCTACTGGGTTAGTCTCAGTTCGATATTCGATCCTCCAACATGAAAAGCAATGATCAAATAATGAGCAATAAACTTAAACAGGCAAAGTCTTGTCTCTGCAGGGAGACCATTAAATCCMCTTGTTTATTGGCAACAGTAATTAATGACCCAAATACAGCACAGAGATCTTTGACTTTTTGCTTTAACTTTACTTCAAAATTAAGTTCTACTTTGCATTTGTTTTCACCGGACAGTATAGTTGCAATTTAAGTTTGGAAAAATATAAACAGACCACCCTTTCTTCTTCATAAGAAACCTGTAATCASTCTAGTACAAGAGCCATCCTAATGATGGCTCACACCTGAACTGTAATTGCTACACAGAGATCTCGCACTCTTAAAAGAGAATGCCCTCATTTATATATATAAAAAATATTAATAATCCTCAGCCTGGATAATTATCAGACATACAAATATAAACACCTTTAGAAATTTAGATGTGAGGACCTGCTTGCCTGTTAAGTTGATACAGTCATGTGACCTGACCAGTGCCCTAGTTGAACACCTCTTAGATGTTTATGCATATACGGACGCTAATCTCAGTTAGGACTATGGGATTTGGGAATATTTTGTTTAACAGAGATCAAAGTAGTCGACTCAGATAAGAAAAAAACCCTCCTCACAGATCAAACAGAGCAATGCATCTTGAATCCCACGCCCTTAGTAGCCAATCAAGCCATGCATAACTTTTTCTTTAAAAAGAACAAAAAATTGTTTTGAATCTACTTCCAATCAACATCTCAAGCAGCCCACCCCCCCTACCAAGACACGACGTTGCTTTGGATTATTAACTATATCAAGAAAAGCCACAGACTACACCGAATCTGTATGTCTCTCATGCTTGGCTAACGTGATGCTGGCATTCAGGAAAACAGCGATACTGTGTTAAGAGATCAAAGAAGCAGTGCAGAGATGTAGACTCACTGTATGTCAGTCAAGACGGGGAAGCAAAGCAGATGAAGACAGAAGTGCTTACACACACACTCCTGCGCTGGCTYGTTCTGCGTATGTGCCTGTGAGGGGTGAGGCGTTACTGTCAGATGGCTCAGGGGCTACTCATTTGTAGACGTCTAGTGTTCACATGAACCTAAAACTTGCAACAAAATGAGGGCACACACACACACACACACACACAGCTTTATGTGTGATAAGAGAGCACTCCAAGCTCATATACTGCCCTGCAAAAGTTCTGTGCTCTCAGCATTTTACCTTGTCTAGAAGATGAATAGTTATTTTACCGACTGTGGAGAAACAAAACAATGCTGTCTGTTTAGACGTGTGATGGAGCGGCCTCCATTCCCGTAGATCAAAGATGGGCTTTTTGTTTTTTTTGTCAAGTTTGCAATATCTCTCCTAAGCTTTTTGTGTATCCAATCCTGACATTAACAGAGCAAGGACTTCAGATCTGCTGGACATCCTGCTGTTAGCACGACCTTTGCTCATTTCTTCTTTGTTGTGGATCATGCTGTTGGCTGTAGATGCAAACTCTACTCCATTGTTTTTGTATTGTATTGTACAAGTCTGTTGATCTTTTTAAATAGTCTGGCAGGAAATATTGTTTCCTTCATAAAATACCTTGTAAAAAAAGGTTCCATGGTGTTTAAAAAAATCCCCTATTTTTTTTCTAAAATTGAACCAAGAGAAATCTTTTAATTATGGATAATAATTTGATTTTAAATGTTTCTAATCAAATTGTTTAGTCTTTTTATCTTTCAGGAAAACTTATAAATATTAACTGTAGATTTCCTCACATCAAATGAAAATCTGTTTCGCAGATTAAACACAGAAGCATACTGTCACCTTGTGGCCACAACAGGCAACAATTTATTTTTGTAAACTACATTTTTGACAGTTTTATGA